TAATGTGGCACATAGTCGAAAAAAACCTTTTAATTTGTGTCATACTATTTGTGATAAGATGCAAAACAATCCAAAGAAGCTGCCTTATAGTATGGTGTTGCCTCTTGTTTTTGAGTTTCTAGGAGTACACTTAGAAAAGAAAGAGTGTCACAATGTTTCAAAGTTAGATTGTAATTCTTTGAAACTGAAGGATGAAGAAGATGAGGAAGGAAAAGAAAAATTAGAATAAGTAGAAAAAGAGAAAGAGGAAGACAAAAAAAGAAAAAGAAACAGAAGTTGAGTTAGAAATGGAACCAGACCAAAGAAAAGAGAAAGAAAAGAAAATTGAGATTGAAACTGAAGAGCAAAAGGATTTTGTGGATCCTGGAAGAACCTGAGACAACTGAAAAGGAAGAAGAAGTAGAAGTTGAGTATGCTATTGATGCAGAAATAAAGAAATTAGAAATAAGTGATGAAGAGGAAAAGGAGCCTGAAACTGAAGCCAAGAAGACTTCAGAATACCTGTCAGCACAGAAGAGTAGAGAGGCAATGTTGAATAGAATGGAAAAAGATCTCATTGAAGAGCACAATAGGAAACTTTATGAGGCCATCAAGCATGGTAAGGCTGAGGTAGAACACACTAAATCTCTCATTGAGTCTATGGAAAAGCTAAAGAATGTCAATGAGAGAAGACTTTCTACTCTCAAAGTTAAGGCTACACCCTACATTCCTACTTCAGAAAAGCCTAAAAGAGTTAAGCATACTGTTGGGAGGAATAGAGTTAATGGAAGAAAACCTCCTCTGCATCCTTCTTCGGAATGATCTGAGAATCCAGCTGAAACCTCACCTGCTTAGAATCTCAGGAGTTCTAAAAGACTCAGAACTGATTCTAAACCCCTCTGACTTCTTTCTAATCTGTTCTGACTATGTTTTCATTTTGTTTGGTGTACAGTTTTTTTATTTATTTTGCTCTATTTTCTATTGATGTTTGTAGTTTGTTTTATTGTACTCTATTTAGAATTTTCTAGCTCTATTTATTTTTGTTTCTACTTTTATTTTTTCTGATTTGCTAACCCTCTTTTATGATGACAAAAAGGGGGAGAACACAATACACTTGATGCTTGAGTACGTGGAGGAGAACACAATATATTTTTACGTACTTAATATCTTTGCTTATCATGTTCTAATCTGTGATATTTTTATTCTAATGTTTCGTTTCTATGAAAATAGAATATGCTTTGTATGCTCTGATTGTTAGACTTTATCTAATCTGTGATTAATTTTAATTTCTAATGTTTCGTTTTCTATGACCAATAGAATTGCTTTGTAATGCTCTGATTGTTTAGACTTTAGAACTTAATTTTTAATTCTATGTATGCCTCTGATTGTTTAGACTTAGAACTTAGTTTTAATTCTTAAATGTCAGTTTCCTATTATCTTGGTATTTCCTGTTCCTATTCCACAGATTAATTATATTGCACTTAGTTCAGGGGGAGTTTTTATATAAGTCTCTAATCTTGCTTTCTGATAAATCCTGTTATGTTTTAGAACTTGTAATTTTGTTGACATGTAATAAATTTAAGGGGAGCAACGTGATATTGCACTTATTCAGGGGGAGTTTTATATAAGTTCTAATCTTGCTTCATGATAAATCTGTTATGTTTAGAACTTGTATTTTGTTGACATGTATAAATTTAAGGGGAGCACGTGATTTTATGATTAATAAATTTACTAATATTGTCATCATCAAAAAGGGAGAAATTGCTAGTTCAAGGGTTAACTTTATCTTAAGATTTTGATGATTATGCAAAATAAATAAATTTAATATTCTTGTATGTGCTAATATTATTTTATGCAAATTTTTTTTTTAATATGGAAATTGCTAAAGAAGGCAAGTTACTACAAATCCAAGATTCTTTGAAGACCATGAAAAGTTTTTAGTGGTTAGTATCTTAGGATATATTGTAGAATAGAGAGAATGTTCTTTTATAAGCACAAAAATATTTTTCTTCTCTCTCAAAATAATTTTCGAAAATTGCCTAAAAATAAAAGTCAAATCTTGCTCTTTTTAAATTTACTTACCTAAATGAAAAATATTTTAACTTAATTATTTTTGGTAACAAAATATTTGAAAAAGATTCACATATCTTTTATTTTCGGAAATTACCTTATAAAAATAAAGTCAAATCTTTTCTTTATTCTACTTACCTAAATGAAAAAGATTTTGACTTAAATATTTTTGGCAACAAATAAATAGGTATATAAAAGATTTTCGTGCATCTTTTTTTTTTTTTTAATGTCAAAGATATTCTTTAAAAGCTAAAAAAATCAATGCTTTCTAAACGGGATCTTCATCCCCTCTATAGAAGACGTTTTCCTTTTGTGAAAACGAGGTGGTTTTTCTTTTAAGAGAAAGTGTCCATTGAACAATAGTTTTAAATCTCTCAAAGCTCTTTCTCAAAACCCTCTTATTTCTTTTCGTCTCTTTGCTTCAAGGAATATTTTTTAGAGTAAAGAAAATTTAATAACAACATTTTCTAAAGAACAGTTCTGATCTTTAAATTCTGTTTTCTAAATCTATTTTTTGTTCTTCCTGTGCTTACAATTGCATTTCTCTCTGTCTTTATAGATTTTGTAATCTATTGTAGACTAGAGGCTTTTTAAATAAAAAACTTTTGTGTAATAGCTTAAGTAAAAAGCTATGGTATAATAGGTTATCAAGCGACCTTCTCCTTATATGAGATTCTAATGTCTTGATGTGAATTTCTATTCTCTGCAAAAACACAAAGGGTTGAGGTTGATTAGAACCTTTAAAAAAATCTAGTGGGACAATAGTTAGATCTAGGTGTTGATTTATTTTCTTGTAATGTTGGTTTGTCTCTTACCCTTGAAAAGAGATAACATAGTGGAGGATCTCAAGATGAGTCTTGGGGAGTGAGGCGAGTTAGTACCGAACCACTATAAATCTCTGTGTTATAAATTTCTTGTTGTTTATCTTCTTTTTTATTTTTTGAAGTTCTGCTTGATTCTATTTTCTATTTTACAACCATCTGTTTAATCTTTTTAGAAATGCAAAGTTTTTAATGGAATTTTTCTTGTTTCTAAAACGTGAATAAGCTTTATCTTTGTGAACGTGAATAAGCTTTATCTTTGTGGAACATTAGAACTCTGGATTTCTGTATTGTGATTATACCAAGTTCTAATCTGTCCTTCTACATTTAGTATAAATCACAATGTGAATTATAATCAGTTTTTTAATTTTGCTTAAAGCTTTGTGAAACAATTCTAAAACACAATAATTGTGTTTCACATAATCTTTCTAAATACCAATAAGTTTTGTAAAGCAGTTCTAAATGCAATAACTGATTCTTCACTGAATCTTTCTAAATTTGCTTAAGTTTTGTGAAGTAGTTCTAAAAACAATAACTATTCTTTACATAGTCATTCTAAAATTGCTTAAGTTTTGTGAAGCAATTCTAAACGCAATAGCTATTCTTCATAGAGTCTTTCTAAATTTGCAACAAGCTTTGTGAGGCAGTTCTAAACTTGATAACTAACTCTCACAAATGCTTTCTAATTCCGCTGAAACAAATTTCTGATTTTGTTTTTGAAAGTCAAATTTTTAGAAAACCCAATTCACTCCCTCTGATTTTGTTTTTGAAAGTCAAATTTTTAGAAAACCCAATTCACTCCCCCTCTTGGGTTGTGCCATACATAACGGGACCCACATGTGTCAACGTACTGATTCATATGATTTTTATTATACATTAGTTGCTTTCATTTTCTTTTTTAAGGAAAACCAAATTGATTTATAAAAATCATCATATAACTTCTATTATGCATTTTATAATTAATTTACATGTTTTCGTAATAACTTTCATTATAATCTCTTATAGTAAATAAATGTACGTTAACAATAGCATAAGAAAGCCATCTAATAAATCAAATTAAATATTTATAAATAATTATATATTTTTTATTTTTTTAGCCAATCAAAACCATGAAAGCATTTTAAAAAATCAATAATAAAATTATATTCTTTAATAGAAATAGTATTTGAATTATATAAGATATCAATATAACTAATTAAATTTGAGATGTTTAAAAATAATAATTTTTATCTTTTAAAAAATAATAAATTTTTATCTTTATTTTTTGACCTAAACCAAATTAGAGTGGTAATTTAATGAAGTTAAAAAGAAATTTAAAATTTTTAAAATCAAATCTAAATCATCTATTATCATTTATTTAAAAATAAAATTTAAAAAAAACATTAAAAATTTTTCAAACGCCCCATTTACGATATATTTATTTAAACATAATATAATGTTTTGAAGCTAAATTATAAATTATACATAATAATAAATTAATTAAAAATTATTAAATTAATTATTAAATAATTTACATAATAATAATAATGAAAAAAAAATATAATTAGACACAATAAGATAATAAATAGTAAAAATTTTTAAAATTTTGAAATGCTTTAACGATTAGACACAATAAGATAATAATAGTAAAAATTTAAAATTTTGAAATGCTTACGTATCTATATTTATTTATCTATTAAAAAAGTCAAAAAAAAAAAAAAAGACAACCAATCAAATTATAGAAATATTATGTATATTTTTAGATTAAAATTTTTTAATTGGTTAAAACTAAGGTTATTTTAGAATATTTTAAATTTCACAAGGAGAATAACAACAATTCTATTATTTCCTCTCATTCCCACTTTTATGTATAGTATAGTATAGATTATCTTTCTTCTAATTTTAAGCCTCCAAATTTTCTAATTGCCGTCATGTCTTCTATGTTGTGTCATCACATACTTTCAAGAAGACCATTTTGAATCTTTTGAAATGGTCAAGGAATTAAAAGAAAAGACATCTAGGTACATATATGCTATTATTGTTTAACAAAGTATTACAAAAAATATTATCATGAAAAAAAGTAATACAAAAATATAACTTTTAACTACCATTCTACGTACAGCTTCAAGTGCTTCATTACCTTCCATTAAGTTTCCCATCTTTACGCTAAATTTGCGGCTAACCTATGCTTGATTGAAGGAAAATGATGTTGATGCTGAGAAAGATATGAAAATAGAGGGAGAAACAAGTAGGGAGAGAGAGAGAAGAAGAAGAAGAAAGATTCAAACAAAATCTTCTTTCTTTTTCCTCTTCTTTTTCATGTCTTGGGCTTTTCTTTTCTCTCAAATTTAATGTATTTTATCCGTTGTAATGGGAATAGCCATAAATTTTTTTATATTGAACACAGTTCATATGTAATTTGTAAGATAGATCCTACCATACAGCGATTCAGAAAGGTTTTTGATTTCTCATTATATAAGTTGGAGAAGGCCTTGCTTTTTGTTGCAGGTTAGACCACTTTCTTTCAATAATATTATATATACAATCTTAAATTCTTATTTGATTTAAAATTCCTCTTTTTCGAAGTTTTTTATTTAGTATGGATTCAATGAATAAGTTAGATAATAAATATTATTTGTTTTTGTGATTTAGCTAACTACCTGGTAATGCATGATATTAGAGGTTTTCCATTTTTTTTTTTTTTTTTTTTTTCTCTGGGTAAATTGCATGATATTAGAGGTTTTATCCATTTTTTTTTTTTTTTTTTTTTTTGGGAAAAGCCTTTTTTATATCTTATATATGGAGAATCCAAAATGTCAGAATTAACAATGCCTTTAAAGTAATTGAGGCAAAGAAAGCAAATGTAACGTAAACAATACAAGTTAATTGAGTAACAATTCTGCTGAAACGAGCCAAGAAATTAGCTGCTTGAAATGTCCCCTCACGATAGATGTGGAGAAAGAGACCATTGAATCCCCGGGAGACTAAATTCTTGATCTGACCATGACAAACCGTGTTTCCAATTTAAACAAGTATAATATAATGATCCCACAAAAATTGAATTTCTAGTTTAAAACGAGCCAAGAAATTAGCTGCTTGATTCCCCTCACGATAGATGTGGCAGAAAGAGACATTGAATCCCGAGACTAAATTCTTGATCTGAATGACAAACCGAGGTTTTCCATTTAAAAGTATATATATGATCCACAAAAATTGAATTTCTAGTTTAGAATAAAACGTTTTTCAAGTCCTTAAGAAAAATGAAAAGAGGAAGTAAGCTTTTTGAATTTCTTTTTTATTTAATTGCTTAAAACCTCTCTTTTTCTTTACAAGCAAATGATCCAAAAAAAAAAAAAAAATGTTGGTTTTGGTTAAATGATCTTTTGAAGAGGGATAGTATGCTTTTATATGAATGTACTTTTCATTTTTTTTTATCATATTGCCTAAGGTTTTTTTTTTCTTTTTTTTTTTGAATGTTTAAATGAAGAAAACTTTGTAAGCAAATTAGTTTATCTAAGTATGATGATATTGGTTATGCAGCTCTTTTGTGTGGATCATTATTATCCCCTAATAAAAAAGGAATTGGTCTATGGTCGATGCAGAAACAAATAAATAGAAATTTCTAGTTATATCTCGTGAAAACCGTATTCTTTCTTTTGCTTTTGCGGAATTAATTTTTCTAGTGATTGAAAATTGCAACAAGAATAAAAAAAATGTAAAAATTTGATTTTGAATCTATATATAAAAGTCAATATTTTTTATTTTAATTAAAAATAAATTACTCTTATCATTTGTTTCACATTCTTCCTATCTACTTTTTCTCTTATTCACTTTTTTCTTTTTAATCATAAATCTCAACTTTATTTTATTATGTGATAATATTTCTTTAACTTGTAAATTTTGATTTTTTTTTTTTTTTGCATCAATACATTTTAATTTCATGCATTTCACACTTCCATGATGACTAATGGATAGAATCAACATATATTGTCTAAATGGAAATGGTATAATGATTTTATATAGGTGAAGAGTTCATTAAAGGATATATTTTGAATTATAGTTTTGGAAAAATTGAAAAGTTTGCATTAGATTGTTTTTATAAAATCATTGTGAATAAATAAAAATTAAAAAAAGTCAATGGTAAATATTTAGTATTTCCTAATTTTTTTGAGAAAAGTATTTTATAAAATTTTATCCAAGGTGGAAATTTATTAGATTTTTTTTCCTCAAACACTGCTTTTATTTAGGATCCATAATTTGCAAAGAATTGTTTTCTTTTGAATTAGTAAGCAAAACAAGCTTTTTACACTAAAAGAAAGGATAAGATTTTTATTGCTTGTCACCCCTATTATTCTTTGAAAAGATGGAGCTTCATTGAAGGAAACTTGAATCTCTTATTTATTTTTTCGTACATAATTTTCTGTGACAAAAGTAAGAGATTAGGTAGACAAATACTTTTTTTTTTTTTTCTTGAATAATACGTTTCATTTCTAATCAGCAAGAGTAGGGTCGGAACTACATTATGCTTTGGGGGCCATGACCCATAAACTTTTCAAGAAATTTCTTCCATAAATTTTATTTTATAATTTCAAAATATACACATTAGTCCCTAATATTTAAAAGCTAACTCTATTTTTATTTTGGGACCCTAATATTTAATGTCTAGTTCCAGCCATACAACATGAACAATTAATTTTTATTCATTACTTTCCCAAATAATGAATAAAAATTAATTATTTTCCTAATATGAGTATAAACATCTTGGTTGATATTTATTTTCCCAAATACGTATTTGTTAAGCTAATGCTTGTAATCTTTCAGAACAAAAGAAAAAACAAAAAGTTAATTCTTGTAAAATTTGGTAAAAACCTTCTCTTTTTATTAACTTTCTTAGCTTTAATTAAATTTGTAAATTACAGAAAACAGTTAGCTGCTCAAATCAATTATGGCACCAAGCAAAATTAGAAGAGCTCTTGGTGCAGTGAAAGACCAAACTAGCATTGGCTTGGCAAAAGTTGGCAACAGTGCTTCATTATCAGACCTAGATGTTGCCATTGTAAAAGCAACAAGGCATGAAGAACATCCAGCAGAGGAAAGGCACATTAGAGAAATCCTGTGCTTAACATCATATTCACGAGTTTATATAAGTGCATGTGTAAATACCTTATCAAGGCGATTGAACAAGACCAAGAACTGGATAGTGGCTTTGAAAACACTCGTACTGATTCAAAGACTGTTGACAGACGGTGATCCAGCATATGAACAAGAGATTTTCTTCGCAACAAGGCGTGGGACTCGGCTGCTGAACATGTCTGATTTTTGCGATGGTTCAAAGTCCAATTCGTGGGACTACTCGGCATTTGTTCGTACTTATGCGTTATATCTTGATGAAAGGCTTGAGTTCAGGATGCAAGGACGTCGAGGGAAGCGAAGTGCATTTGGAATTGAAGAAGATGAAGAAGCGGCTGCTGAAAAAGCATCACGTGTGAGATCCACACCTGTTCGTGAGATGAAGATTGAGAGTATATTTTCTAGGATTCACCATTTGCAACAGCTTCTTGAGCGCTTTTTGGCTTGCCGTCCCACAGGTAGGTTTTCCTGTATTGTACGAGTTTTTAGCTTTTCATCTCTACTTATACTTATTTCAAAGTAAGCTATTATTTAATTTCCTTATTATACTCAAATAAATTAGTTAGGGCTTCTATTTTCATAATTTAATTATATATTCTCGATTTTATTTCATTATATTACTCAATCCTTCTGCTAAAATTTACCATTGGTCATTAGAAGGATTAAGTACTATATTAGGAACAAAAATTGAGAGAATATATAATTAAAATTTGAAAATAAAGAATCCTGACTAGTCTATTTAAGTAAAACGAGAGGACTAAACAGTAATTTACTATTTTAGACACTTTTACAAGCCATGTAACTAGCATGTGCATTCACTAGGGATAATAATATGTTTCCTAGCAACAAATAGAAAAAAAAGTATAACGTCAATTAGTGTAATTAGTAATGAAATTGAGAGTTCATAATTAAATTTTGAAAATAGAGCTCTGACTAGTATGTTTGAGTATAACGTCAGGGAATAAATAGTAATTCACTCATATTTTAATTATGTTTATGGAACAGGTACAGCAAAATATCATAGAGTTATAATGGTTGCTCTTTATGCTATAATCAAAGAAAGTTTCCAATTATATTACGATATAACGGAAATTTTGGGTATTTTAATTGATCGTTTCATGGAGCTAGAAATTGTCGACTCTATCAAAGTTTATGATATATTTTCTCGTACCTCAAAGCAATTTGATGAACTTGACAATTTTTATGGATGGAGTAAGACTGTTGGCATTGGACGCTGCTCAGAGTACCCTGAAGTTGAGAAAATTACACGGAAAAAGCTTGACCTCATGGATGAGTTTGTGCGAGATAAGTCTGCATTAGCACAAACCAGACAAGTTTTAGTTTATGAACAAAAGAGTGAAATTGAAGAAGAATATAAAGAACCTATACGAGAAAATGAAGATGACATGAATGCAATGAAAGCACTACCGCCACCAGAGAGTTGCACTCAAGAGGTCATAACAGAAGTAGTTGAAGAAGAAGCAAAGAAAGATGATAAGCAAGAAAAGAATATAGAAGAGGTTGATTTATTGAACTTAGGTGGAGAAGATGCAGTGTCTATGGAGGAATATGGAAACCAATTAGCTCTAGCTTTATTTGATGGTTGCCCACAACCGCAGGCTACAACTGATACAACATGGGATGGTTTTTATGATAATACAACAGATTGGGAGACAGCTCTGGTTCAATCAGCAAGTAAGCTATCTAATCAGCAGAAAACTCTTGCTGGTGGTTTTGATATGATGTTGCTTGATGGAATGTATCAACAAGGGGCAGCAAATGCAACAATGTCGAGTGTAGGTTATGCAGCTACTGGGAGTGCAAGTAGTGTTGCCCTTGGTTCAACTGGAAGGCCTGAAATGTTAACATTGCCAGCTCCATCAACAACAGAAGCTAATAATACAATTACATTACATAATACAGACCCTTTTGCAGCTTCATTAACTGTTGCTCCACCACCATATGTGCAAATGTCAGAATTGGAGAAGAAGCAAAAGTTATTGGTGGAGGAGCAACTAATGTGGCAGCAATATGCAAGGGATGGGATGCAAGGACAACTTGGCCTAACAAAGCTACAACCAAATTCTTACAATATGGGAGATTATACAAGTAGATATTGATGGTGCAGTTATAGGGGGGTTCATTTGCTTTAGTCAATTCCTTTTATTACTGAGGTGACTTTTGTAATTAAAAGATTTCAAAATTTAATTAGTTAAATGTTCTACAATATATATTCATATTTTCATTTTTTTCTTTTTTTTTTCCCTTCAATTACAATCCCGAACTAAAAGTCCTTTTGTCTGCATAATTGGTAGCTCCCAATTACAAGCATTAGGTATTTTGTGAAAGTATTTTGTCATAATGTTTTAATAATTTTTGTAGTGATTAATATTCTTTCTATGAAACCTGAATTTTTATTTTCTAATTTCAGATTGTAAAATTAAATTAAAATATTTTCATGTATTTATTTGATGGAAGTGTTGGTTTTTTCTTTTTTTTTTTTTTTTGGTTTTGGGGGAAACTAAAAATCCTTTTTGTCTGCATAAATTGGGTTGGGGGGTAGCTCCCAATTACAAAGCATTAGGTATTTTGTGAAGTTATTTTGTTCATATGTTTTAATATTTTTGTAGTGATTAATAATTTTCTATGAAACCTTGAATTTTTTATTTTCTAATTTCAAAGATTGTAAATTAAATTAAAATATTTTCATGGTAATTTATTTGATGGAAGTGGTTTGGTTTTTCTTTTTTTTTTTTTTTTTGGTTTTGGGGGGGGGGGGGGGGGGGGGGGGATACTGGAAGGCGGGGGGGGGGGGGGGGATACTGGAGGCAGGGACAGAACCCAAATAAGAACTCAACAACCAAACTTAGCCATGAACTAAGTTAGGCCAAGAAGTACCACACCTATCCCAGTGAAGGAGATCCAAAACTATTTGCGGGGGCACTGCAAAAATCTGCCTAGGGGAGGACGCCATGACTGCCATATTAGCAAGAGCATCTGCAACTTAGATGGCTTCCCTGAAACAGCAGGGCTTTAATCGGACGAAGCAAGTTAAGAAAACGACATGCATCAATTACCTCTTTCTGAACTAATTGAAGAACTACCATTGGGTCCAACTCAACTGCTACCCTGCGCCAACCTGTGTCCCAAGCAAGAGTTAAACCATGGAGCAAACCATGAAGCTCAGCCACCACGGAAGAACAACGACCCAGTCGGAAATAAAAACTGTTTTGCTATTCCCCTTTGAAATCTCGAATAATCCCTCCACAGGCATTGGGACACGGGTTACCCTTAGCAGCACTATCAGTGTTCAATTTAACCTACCCATGATCCGGAGGATGCCAAGCAACGTTACAAATTGACTGCCTCTACTACAAAAAAAAAAGAAAAAAAAAAAGCTGATTTACGATCGACAAATCAGTTGCTGAATAGATTTAGCGACAGAGTTATGGCGATTGCTGTTGACGCGTGTCTTTATGCCCCTGCTTGATCCGATGAGGATACGAGGATACGGATTGTCTTAATGGTATCTAGAAGTCTTTTGATCCAAGGATTTAAACAAAAAAAAAAAAAAAGGATTTTAAGTGTCTGACTGGGTCATAGCTGATTTTAAGTGTCTGACTGGGTCATAGCTGCGTCACGCAACTATGTTAGACTACATGACGTTTTTGTATTAAACGACATGTAGCTCTGGTACAACAAGTAAACTGCGTCACATAGCTATGCTCTGTTGCCCTACTTCTATAAATAGATCTTTTTCTCACGTTTGAGACAACTTTGGTGAGCGTTTTGAAAACCCTAAAAACGTATTGTGCGACTACATTCTCCTCCAGAAGCTCTTTTGAGTTCGTTTGAAGGAGAATTGCCATTAGATATCAACTTTAGGTGAATCAAACCAAAAAAAAAGAGAGAGAAAATCAAGAGAGAAAAGAGTGAGCATTTAAATCCTTAGTGACGAAGCCTCTGGAGCGTCTTAACCATCGTTCGTTAAGGCATCAAAGCCATATGCAATCCTCAATCTGAGGATTAGGTAATTCCTTCACACTTTTTTTGTGTTTTTATTCATTGGTTATTTATCTTATTATTGTTTTAGTAGTTTAATCTTAATTAGATTGCATTATGTTCGTTTTTTGTCATTTGAGGTTGTCTTGAAATATATTTAAATAAAAAACGCTTTAAACAAATAATTTAAAACAGAGCTCGGACCAGAGCAGTTGCGTCACGCAGCCAGTAGCCAGAGCAGTTGCGTCACGCAGCCAGTAGATCCATAACAGATCTGGCAGATGCGTGACGTAACTGTTCATGTCCAAAATTTCGTTTCTTTACCCAGAATAGCTGCGTCACGCAGCTATCGGGTTCGTCACGCAACTGTTCTTCCAAAGAACAGCTGTGTGACGCGACTGTTCTAAGGTTCCAGAAACGATTTTTCTTCTTTCGAAAAAATAAATTCTGTACAAAAATAAAATTTAATTTTTCCAATAAATCCAAAGATGACTAATTATGAACAGATTGTAATTTGATTAAGTTTAGAATATTAAAATGTGATTATGCATGATTTCGGATTTTCGATTTTTGGGTTCAAATTTTTATTCGGGTAGAATGTATTTTTAAGTTCGGTTTGTAGCCTGCCTTGAACTATAAGGCAAGAGCGGGTCTTTTATTTATTTGATTTAACTGCTTTGGTTTGGATGATTTGGATGATTATGGATGCAATGGTTGTGATTGGGATGATTAAATTAAAAGACCCACTCTTGCCTTGAACCCATAAGGCCAGAGCGGTCTTTTATTTATTTGAATTAACTGCTTTTGAGTTTGGATGATTTGGATGATTATGGATGCAATGGTTGATTGATTGCCGGGACGATTATTTAATTTTTCCAATTAAGAACTCGGTTCGATTAGAACTCGGTTCGATTCATTCGGGTTGGGTTTAAATAAATAAATAATCTGGCTTTTCTAACCAAAATAAATTAGAAATCGTAGGTTAAAAGAGGTCGATTTTTCCGGGCGTTGGCTTCCAACGGGCCGGCGTACCAAATTTCCTTACCCAGAATCGCCTTGGTAGGCCTAACCAGTTTTCTAAATAATTTGGCCTTAAATAAAGTCGAGTTTAAAATGGAGTTATCTTTTTATAAAATTGGAAACGGTCCCATTGCCGAAATAATAGGTGGCGACTCAAAAATATTTTATAAGACCGATTTATCAGCATCGTATCTAATAAAATGTTCAGCATCGTATCTAATAAAATGTTTTGTCACCACTGTTCAAAATAAGATCACTTTTCCATTTCCAAAAATCAAAACAAAAAGAGGCATTTTTCGGATCGCTCGGAGGCGTGCGAAAACAATTGCAAAATACTCACCGTAAATTTTTTTGCGACCGATCAACTAAGTGGTCGCAAATTAGTGACCGATTTGTCAGTCGCAATATAAAAATTTGTGTCATATTTTCCAATTGAAAGCTTATCGCAAAGTGGTCACAAAACTTTTCGGTCGCAATTATCAAAATGTGGTCGCTAATTGGTTGCCAAATCTGAAAGTGATTGGTCACAAATTTAAATTTAACGATTATAATTTGGTCACAGTTCAGTCGCAAATAATATAATTACAAGAAAAAATAATTTTAAAATATTAAAAACTACAATTTTTTTCACCTGTTAAAAATTGACATATATAGATCACAAGCATCATCATCAACATCACTCAGAATAACAATCTAGAAAGGAACTGTAAATGTAATATACTATACAAAATATGAAAAAAATCACAGGTAGCTAAAATGGTCCGAATCAAATCTATGATGTCGGTCCTCTAGACAATCCAGTGTAGTGTCTATTGGATGTGCTGTAGTGTCTGTAGGAGTGACCAAGGTATCATCTGCAGTATCTGGATGAAGAGGAGAAGATGGTGGCTGATGTAGAGTACAAACAGGTAGATATGCAGTAGGCGGAGGATCGGAAGAAGAAGTACCAGCACGGAAATCCGCATTACATGTGCTCTAAGCTTTGCAAGCTGTCTCTCCTGTGCATCAACACAAGCCCATAATGCACTAATCCCCTCGGCACTATGGTCAGGCTGTCGTCGTGAGGAAGCTCTAGGAGCGTTAGACGTTGTGCCGCAGTAAAACTGTGATGCCTGAGACTCGATGCCATATACTTTTCTCTTCTTTTTGCCCCCTGTGGCTTTCAAATATAGTGCTAACTCATCAAGATTTGGCTCAACTTTATATCCAGCTTGAGAAGAAACAACACGCTCTTGAGCTGTACTGTAGTTCTCCTAAAAATAATAAATTAATTAATCAATGCAGTTGTAAGATTTATTAAACTTAAACACATAAGAGAAGACTAGAAAATAAATGGAAAAAAACTTAAAACACATTCCTAAAAATAATAAATTAATTAATCAATGCAGTTGTAAGATTTATTAAACTTAAACACATAAGAGAAGACTAGAAAATAAATGGAAAAATTCTTCATTATTACTTACATTGACGTCCACCGCACGTCTGTAAACAAACGTATGTCCATCGTGGTCCTTTGTGTGAGTGTAAGTGAACACCTCCATCGGTGTGGGCTCACAACAATATTTTTCAGCCAATATCGCATTTTTATGCATAATATATTAATATGGTCTCATTTCATTAAATATCAGTTTTGTAACTGTAAGTAATTAGCTCACTAATAATTGAGATGTCTCTATAGCAGAGATTGATCTGCCTGTGTGTCCAAAAGGTCCTGTTCCATCACCGCTAGTTTCACTGCGCCTGTTTCGTGAAAATATCTCACACTTTCTCTTGAATACAGGATCCTCCCAAGCCTTCTGCTAGCTCTCCCATATCTCCTGAGACATGCACTACTGCTTCTTACCATTTTTTCGCATCCTATAAGTGAAGTACTGTAGAGCGCACAATTTCACCCATGCCACTTTCAACATAGCCGTAATAGCCCCTTCCCATATGAAATGCTTCTGCAAAAATAAAAAACAATATTTCCACAAAGAGTCAGTGAAGGTCCATAAATTCATATCATTAATTAAATTGAATGAAGATATAACTTGAACCAAATCATACCTAAAACTCTTCCCAATAAAAGTCTTTCACCTCTTATGGTACAGCACCCCATGAGTATCCATCTTTATCCAGACGTAGCTTGATTATCCTCATAATTTGCCTTGATGCTCGAAAGGATGAATATATGTTGTGAAAAAAAACCAAAGTGAAATATAAGTAGA